GGAAACATCTATTAAACAATTCCCAACCTTAGAACGTTTGTCCATTCACCCTAACATATTGGTTCCCCGTGTTCTCATCGACATAAACACCCACTCCAGCAGTTGCACGACGTAGTCCCTTTCAACCGTAGCTCAATCTCCAACATTCAATCTCACAGCCATGACAAAAGATATAGTTCAAAGTCATTCACCATTCACCATTCTCTTATCCTTGAGTAAATTAGAGGGTTGAAAATTTACCTGTATCCCTAAACCCCTATTCCATGGGCATGTCCTTTGATTGTGATCTGGTCGTTAACACTTGGAGCAGTATTTGGCACGTTTGGGCCTCACATTGCTACAATCTTCTTTGATAGCAGCTCTCTTTCCTCTTTGACTAGGATTGTTAACCTTCCAGAACAATGAAAATAGCCAAGCATAATTAGCAAATGTAAAGCGAGCAAAAATAGTGTAAAATTAGAAAATAATATTGGGTTAGAATGGTTCCCTTGCACGTCAGGCAGCAGGAGGTGCTTTGCACGATCTCGCATTGTGGCCTTCAGTTCCACAATTTGAGCAACGATCAAGTTACCTTGCCTATTGACTTCCTCTGCAACACCTCATCATTGTGGTATTGTCTCTAACACAGCTACAGATTTTCTCCTGTTCTTTTTAGGTCGCCCAGGGATGGCTCTAGCCTTAGGAGGGTGGACTTCATTCCCTTGAGCAGCTGGCCATGCTTGTCTACCATCAAGACAAGGAAACCCTAACTTATATGCCTCTGACACGTGCATTGATCAATGGTAAAGAGGATGAACAAAGTCATCTGGATCCTTCCTCAAGTGGTTGATGGCATAGATTGCATGACAACATGGGAGGCCACTCAGCTGCCAGTACCCACACGTGCATTCTCTTGCATTCAGATCCACAATATACCCTTCAGCTCCCATCTTCACTTCACATTTATCATGCAAAGCATGTCTAGACACACACAACCTAATAAACTCTTCATCCTTCTCCGATCGTTTCCTAATCCTAGGACAAAGAGTATCAGTAGTCTCTAGCAGCATCTTGTGTTTAATAACCACGATATCCATCATGTAACCCCTAATTCCTTCTAACATGTAAATGATGCGGAATCCCTTATACTTCACAATGCTACCATTCCATGTCTCGCAAATATTAGACTCAACAGAATCACATTTAGGGACTGTAGAGAGGAATGCTCGACAAAAATGATTTGGTTTAGCAGCCATGAAATCACTGTAAGGTGTAGACTCAGCTCCATTACCTTGGATTTCCTTCATTTCACTCGTTGCTTTTTTCCAATCCACCTCGTTACAAGCATACACAGCCTTCCAGAACAAGTTCCTAACTTGATCAGTCTGGTTTTTTGCTTTCCAATTGACATACACATGTCTGGCACATTTTTCGATGCTCAGCTTCGGGAAGCACTTCATGTATCGCCTCAACCAAACCCTACGGAGGACAAGTATAATAAAACAGCAATTAGTGCATAACAAGTAGACTAAAAGGAATGAAATAACACACAAAAAGACAGCAGCCAGCCATACCTTCTGTTGGTCTGAAATCACTGTCCATCCCTTTCCATCTCAACTCCTCAGTGACAACTTGGACAAACCACATCCAAGAGTTGGAATTCTACCCTTCCACTACAGCCCATGCTATTGGAAACATTTGTTTGTTTCCATCATTCCCAACGGCGAAAAGAAGCATACCCTTCACCTCACCCTTGAGGAAACAACCATCTAGCCCAAACATGGGTCGACAAGCAAGCAAAAATGCATCCCTCAAGCTAGAGAATCTGATGAAAAAACGTCGGAAGTAACACTTATCACCATCTGGGTGTGGATCTACTTGCAGAACAAATCATCCCCCTGTATATTTTTTCTTTAATTCTGTCACATAACTCCGGAGACCCTTATATTCGTCAGTCAAGGACCCGCTTAATAGCTTAATAGTTGCAAGTTTGGCTCTATAACAAGTTCTCTTCTTGACATCCATGTTGTGCTTTAGCTTGATCTCGGCCATAATCTGATTTGGTGCCCATGTTGGGTTAATTTTGAACCTCTCCAGCATGTCTTTTGCTATAAAATTGGTTGTTATTTGATTAACTATAAGACTTCTTGCACATGAATGTGGCAGCCCCACCTTCCCGATCATAAAGCACTTGTTCCTCCCGAATTAGCTAGCATAAAGCTTCCACTTGCAGTTGGCAGCTTTACACTTGACCTCCCTCCTCGCAGGGTTGCTCTGAACCCATCGTAGCACCATGTGCCACAGCATGCCTCACCACAACATCCTTGAACTGCTCCACATTAGCAAACTTCATTTTGCACTCAAACTGTAAAGCAATATGATCACATAACGAATCATACTATGGTGCATGGTCGTCCAGATCACCACCTTCCTCGTCTGACAAGTTTGGCCTGACGTGGTCAGACTCCTCAGAACCTCTATAACTCGAATGTTGTGAAGCCTCTCCGCGAGCTTGCCACTTCTCCTTCCTCCTCATCGTCTTCAGTTTCGTCTTCCTCAATCTTCTCAAGCTGATCAACCTCTTCCCCATCGACAACTGCCCTTGCATTCACCTTCCTCCTCTTCCTTTCCCCATAGGAACGTAGGTGAGCCCTAGCTTCGTGGTACTCATCATCAGAGATCATGACATCCTCAGAGTCGTAAATGTGGTAGATATCTCGTGCAATGGATGCAGTTGCATCACCATATGTTTCCATGGAAGCATCGTCATGACCAATCTGATTTGGATCATTCTCCTCCCAAGCATCAGACATCTGTACAAATTAAATTTAAGTGATTATCTACTAAATTAAACCCTTAAGCTTAATTAAATAATGATTACTCACTAATAGTATGAACAAATCACTACCAGACAAGCAACACAACAAGATGGCATTAAAGAAATGGAACTCGGTCTCACAATTTCAACCCAATGAATTCGTCATCTACATTGATGGTTCTACCATAACTTCCAACGTCTTACCGTATGATATTGCGGCAATCTCGTGACAAACAGATTCCTTGTGATCCCTTCAAACCCTTGATGCGTCGCTTTCCCAACTTTACAGCTTGGTTTAACCTATAAAAGAACAATATCGGCTTAGGGTTCCCACCATTCCCATCCAACAACACAAACATAAGTGAGAGTAAGAGAGGCGAGGGACGAAGAGTAACAGAGGCGAGGAGTACTCACCAAAACACCACTTAATGAGAAGCTGTTCAGAAGACATTAGGGTTCGAGCTTCATTCTTCTGGGTTTTGCCGGAATCGATGGTTTCGACCTTCGCCAGGAAAGATAGTTATAGTCAACTCTTCCTCTTCGCCGGCAACGAGTGGATGCGACGTTTCAGCTTCCTATTAAGATGGGGGATGATGCATGACTACCTCTGTGTTCGTCGATAGAGATGGGAATGAAGGGGAGTTTTAGGGCCGGGCGACGGAGGCGAGAGGACCGGCTGACTGTGTTGGTCAATTGACAGTCACCAACGAAGAGGGATTGAGGTGTAATGGCCATTTGGGGTTTATGCGAATTGGGGTTTCTGCGAAGAAGAATCGAGAAGAAAGAATGGGGCGGATGGTGAATAGGAGAGAAAGTAAAAATTTGGTAAAGTAGGGTAATTTTTTTATTAATGAATATAAATAATTTCATTCTCCACCATGTCATGCCACGTAGATCAAATAAACGCAGCCAAATACGGCCGTTTGTCCAGTCAGCCGTCGTTAGGTTTCCGTTACATTAATAGACGGAATGACTATTTTTGTGTATTTTTCAAAATTTAACTATATTTGTCACAAAATGCAAAGTTATGGCTATGGAAGAGCGTATTTTGCCTTGAATTTATGATAATGAACTAAATTGACCTCCCTACCAACAAGTGAACAACCGAAAGCAAGGCAACGAATGGATGAAGGGTGATATAGTTGTGTCGCCGCATGTATGTATTTTTTTATATTCTTGATAAGAATTAATGTATGTATTCAAAAAAGTAGTAATTTGAATTCACAATATAAAATTGAAAATATAAAATAAGTGTGTTTTAATTGCCACCTAAACATAATAAGGGGTCTTATAGTCAATGTAATCCTGTGACGAAAAATACTCATGATTTCTCAAAGACCAATTCGAGGTTGTCAAACTGAATTAAGTTATCAATTTGGTTTAACAAGTAGTTTGAGTTTTAATGGTTAACTCGCGTTCAACCAATTTATGTCAGTTTTAACATAATATGTGAGAAAAACTCTAATACCAAATAAATTACGCATATATTTGATATATTCTAAAACAATCTCACTAATCTTCATTCATATATTACCAAATTATCTCTTCAAAATAAATATATATTACCAAATTATTCAATCAGTTACACAACTAATCAATAAGTTGTGGCAAGCAGCTTGGTCGTTTAAGCCTGACACTTGGTCAAACAGTTTTTGTTAGTGAACCTGCTTATGTTGATTTCATGGCAGGCAAAAGCCCTTATTTCAAAGTGACATTCTATTATTTGGTGTTTCTGCTGGAATTTAATTTGTTCCTTTCTTTCAAATCAAAACTTAAAGGGTCTAACTAGTAGTTAAGGGGGAAGTCAGAAAATGAGAAATACCTCATGGTTTCTTCTCTCTGGAGTAAACGCATACCCCTTGTTAGGTCAGCTATGGTAGTAAGGTGGACCACAATTAACTAATGTCCTGCATGTGCCTTTTCGGGAAGCTGCTCATGTGTTTGGTTGTGAATTTTTAAATGTCATAAAAAGAGGGCTTTTCATGTTTGGTTATTTTTTGGCTAAGATTTAAGGCAGAGGACAGGCCCGACACTCGAAGGACATGTGCTTAGAAACATAAAAGTAAATCGGTTTTAGTGGATTAATTCATTGCTTGGAAAAGGTTGCCTGAGTTCTCAAGCTTTATGTCTACCGAATTCGAGGAAGAATTCGTCTTATGCCACATGTGATTTTCTGATTGCAGGAAATGATAGAGGCGAGAGGGAAGCAAAAGCCGCGATGGAGTGTCATTTATGTTCTAACAAACATAACACTGAACTACTACTCAACGTTGGTAAGCAACAAACAAGTTTTAAGTTCCACAGCTAATACACAACATTGAATTACTCAATCAGTTACACAACTAATCAATAAGAACAGTAATCAGCATTAGATGCTAAGCTCGTCCATAAGCGAATAGTAATTACGGTAGGCTAATTAATTTATCCCTTGGTCCTGGTCCTGTCGAGGCGCTGGCGATGGGGACTTGAGGAAGGTCGCAAAGAGGTCCTTGGCTCTCAGTGGCTGATTGCTGGCGACATAGCCACCGGCCCCGTGGACAGTAGCAAAGGTCAACAACACGTTCTCTCCGGCACCGTAAACGGAAAGGAAGCCCCCAACTTCACCGGAGGAGTCGTACCAGGGCCCGAAAGACGCCGGAGCCGTCCCATTGAACACCTTGCGCACTGCATAGTTGGTGGAAGTCACGGGCTGCTCGGCGCCCGCATCGCCGTTAAAAACCATTACCTTCATCCCTCCCCTGCCCACCACCTCCTTCATCGCCGCAATCATCGACCAAGTTTCCTCCACAGGCGTCCTAATTCGGTCACTACATATGCACCATGAAAGTGATCAATTAATTAACATAACAACAACAAGACAACAACAAATATATATATATAGATCTAGCTAGTGGGATGAAGAACGAACTTGCAGAGAAGCCACGGGCCAGGAACCCGGCCGGTGAGGTTGGCATGGAGAGCCTCCTGGACAGCGGGGATTTTCATGTATTGCGCCACATACTTCTTCGAACAGGTAAGCGATCGAGTCAATTAACATCAACGCGCGCGCGAAAATTAACGAAACGTGACTGGCATGGTTACTTACTCCGGAGGTGGGATGGTTGGTAGATGTACAAAGTGGCTCGTGAAGGGCTGTAACGTCTAGTCGACCCAGGCGTCGAGCCTCCGTTTTTAAGGCCATCCCGCAGTTGGCAGGAGAAGAACCTTTGTAGTGCGGGTCGCAGGAGACGAGGATGTTGTGGCGGCCGGCCTCGCTCATCATTCCTAAGGCGGTGAGGTAGTCAACAAATCCCATGTACGCCGATTCCATGTCCATTAGTGGATTCCCCAGCTGCAAAAAATTAAAACCCACAAGTCAATTAGGAAACGAGATCAAGTTGATGCATTTGTTAATTACTAATTAGAGAACAGAAATAGAGAGAGTGTGTGGAGAGCAGGGACCAGTAGTCCTTTGATGCGGATGTTGGGAGAATAAAGAGCGAGATGAACAGCGTAGCGAGCCCCATATCTCTCGCCAGCCACGTACAAATCCCTAGCTCGGTTTTCCGGAAACCGCCTCAACCACCGGGACAGGAAGCTTAATGCATCTTCAACGATGTCTTCATCGGCCACGACCTTAGTTGTATTGGTGCCGCCGGTATACTCTTTATCGGAGTAGTATGAGAATCCCACTCCCGCCGGCAAGTCCACAAACAACAAGTTCGCCTCTATATTTGATTTGCGCAACAACAACAACAACAACCCTATTAAAAGACTTAGTCAACGTGGCAAAAGCATGTACATATTAATTAAGATAATCAGAAAATAATTAACCCACGTTTGTGCCATGAAAACTGATTCCATTGAAGCGTCATATCTCGCTGAACTCGTAGTGGTCCCACCTCAAGCATCCCTCCTTGACCGAGGGAAGAGCAAAACACCCCCGCTGCAAATAAAATATGAGACTAGTTAACTTAAATGAGATCTACAATTATCAATGGCAACAAAAAAACAAAAAACAAAAAAAAAGAGAGATCTAGCTTCAATTAAATAATAATCACTTTGCTTTGCTGAACAAAAATGGTTGTTATGTAATCATCCATACAGTACGTACGTACCAACACTAAACCAGAGAAGCAACGGAGCCTGAGCTGCTGCGGCCGGTGCCTCGACGTAGTAGTAAAAAATATGCCTCTCTGATGGCAGCCCGCGACCAAGAGAAACATAGCCCGCGAAATGCTCCACGGTATGGCCGGTTGGCTGACCCGGCAAGGGCCCCAGCCTGTCCCTCTCCTTCTGTTCGCCGGTGGCAGCCGCTCCGGCCAAAATGTTCCCGCCGGTAATCACCATCGGAGCTACGGTGAAGAGGATTAAGATCCCTAGTGTGGTAAAAGTAAAACCCACCATTTTGCCCACCATTGGACAGTGCCGCTCTTGTGGATGATGATCGCCTGCTAATATGGAGCAATTTCTTCAGGGCGTGGTCGGTGTCAAAACCAGGAACACAGATAATTTCGTAATGAGCAGATGAGAGGAAGAAGGTGAAGGGGGTGGGCAACTGTATTGAAGATGGAAGTTTGGATTTGAAGTCTAGGAAAAAAAGATGAGAAGAAGAGGGACTTTATCTTGCTCTGCCATCAAAGAAGAGGGAGGGAGAGGAAGTCTAGTAAGAGAGAGGAAGTTTGGGAGTGATAGCTAGGAAAAAAAGATGAGAGGAACAGGGGCTTTATCTTGCTCTGGCATCAGAGAAGTGGGAGGGAGAGGAAGTGTAGTAAGAGAGAGAGAGAGAGAGAGAGAGAGAGAGTTAGTTTGGGAGTGTGGTGTCACGCGGTGGGCGAATGAGAGAGAGATGAGGGAAATAGTTAAATAGATAATATAAATATAATGGAAACTATTGGAAATAAAGACATTAAACATCTATTAGAGTTATGGTAAGAGTAAACTAGAAAAATTAACATTATTTGTATGGTTAGTTTTTTTTTAAATTATAAATTGTTTTAGGGCTCGTTTGGATAATTGGAGTTTAAATCTATAGATTCTAGACAATCTAAAGATTTTAACTCTGTGTATTGTTGAAAAAAGATTTGAAAATGTTAATTGTTTGGTAATTACGATTGTTAGCATCCAATGAAAAAAAGAAATTCTATTTTTTTATTATATGACTTGTTTATCCTCAACCAAAATAATTAGATTGCTCGAAAAATATTGAGAATTTATTGGTAAGGGTATTTAGTGGGATAAATGAACAAAAAAGAAGAGATATAGTAGGAGAGAGAAAATCACTAAATCAAGATGTAGAATCTCTCTAATTACGAGAGATTTGATATCTATAGATTTTAGAGATTTAAAATCTCTGTAGCTACAATCCATGATACAAAAAATAGCAAAAAAACATAACACTTTGCTAAATCTATAGATTCAATAAATCCATGATCCAAATATTGTTCTCCAAACGACCCCTTAAGTTAATTTTGTATGTACTCTTTTGGTACTAATTAAATTTATAATTATTTATAAATAATGCATTATAAATATTTCAATAATATAATAGCTGAGTCCTTTGTGAGAAAGTTGTAAGACCGTCTTTGGCCGTTAATCTATCTCACCTGTAAGTTAGATCCTACCTTTGTTTACCTTCTTTCCTCTAGTCATGAGTTTGATTTTTAGACCTTCCTCTTCTTCCTCTAATTCTGACATCACCGGGAACCGTGTGATCAACCAAGAAGAAATTAATTTTGAAACTGTTAGTAAAGAAATTGATAATTGGCAAATTCCTAGGATTGCCCAAAAGGAAATTTATGAGCAAAGCAAATTTAACTTCCTCAATAAAATGGATTATACCATCAAAATCGAAGAAAGCGATATTCATCTTTTTAATGATTATGAAACTATCAAACTTTTGTCTCAAAATTCTATTCAACAACACAAAAAGAAGTACAACTATATCCATATTGGGTTAGTTCAAGTAGGGATTAAGCCTCTATCCAAAGAAGGCCTTAATACTGCTATTTTAATGGTTTTACGAGATTGTCGGTTTCTTGAGTTTAACGACTCTTTACTTGGAACTGTTGAATCAAGTCTTTGTAATGGCCCAATTTACTTCAATTGTTTTCCAAACTTTACTGTCTCTCTTCATGACAAAAATATTTTAGATGTTTTAACCCTACAAATAAAAACTTTCAACTATAAAATCCAACAAGGATCTTTACCTATCTCTTTGGTTTACCGCTTACACTATAAAGCTATGAAATCTGCTTTCTCTTCTAAAGCTCTTCAATATGGTACAAAAGGAGAAACTATACTTTGGCAAACTGATTTAACTCGTACTAACACTGTTACTCCCAAAACTATCAAATGGGGGGAAGTTACTCTTCCTACAGAATGGACCCTTGAAGGAGCTACCATTCCCAGAAGCATCGACCATCGTCAGGTTAATCAAATTACTCAACATCTTGATGGTACTGTTAACATCTCTTTTGCTAGGAACTCCATCTCTAGCATTTCTGATATAGACCCTGAATTGACAAACGATGCTCGACTGCGCATCAATACTTTTCTTAGAAGCCTATCTTGTAGAAATCTTCCTCCCATACCTACACCCACTCGACATACCTCCTCTACATTCAACTATGATCTACGAGGAATCAATAACTCCAACAACATACCTCAGCCAGTTTATACTCCACCACCTGCCACAACTCTTTTTCCAAATATAAATACCTCGAGAACACCAAATATGTCTCCTACTGCCTCACAAGCTTCATTTCCTGAAGAAGAAATCCCTTCTGCTCTTGATGTCATTACACAAGAGTTCAAAATCAGCAAAGAATTTCTTCGCCATGATTTCTATTCCCAACGAAACCGTTTTAAATGCGAGCAATTTTTTACTGATTACTCTAAAGAAGAACGTGTACTTATACAAAACTCTTTCTATGATTATCTCAATAATATACGAGAACACCATTCTTTCTTTAATTGGTTCGAACAAGTCTTTTCTCAATCTTCGATAAATGTTCAAACCAAGCCTATGACTTGGTTAACTACTAATAACTCTAAGATCCAATCTATTCACCCCCCTAATGCTCCTGTTAATTTTTCTTATTATGGAACAGTAGTTCAAGCCTCTCCTTTTAAATTAAAACGAGAAAATAGTGACCATGTCAAAGGAGAAGATATTCGACGTCTGATTGAACAAAACAATTATACAAACCGATTTCTTCAGACATTAGGAGATCAACTTACTAATGTTGAAATCAGTTTACCTCTGTCTTTTGCGTTTACTTCAAATACTCTTATTCCTCCTTCCAACAAACTTAATTCCCCCATTTTCAAACCTTTTGAAGTTTCTAAAGAATCTAGTCTTGAATTTAAGCTTGAAATAGAAAACGTCTTAAACAACTTTCTACACAACTATCCACTTCTAAGACTCCTTATATTTCATACTCAAAATCCACGAGCAACGAGGATCAAATCGTCGATGACTCAGCCGAAGTAATTCAAGACCTAGAAGGTCATATTGAAACAGAAATCAATCGTCTCTGATGGAATCAACCCTCTGCATCTAAGATGTATTACCCACGTCCCACAGCACCTGATTTAGCTCTCGAAGAGAAACCCACCATTATCCAAAATAAATACAACTCCAATTCTATTTATGAATGGAATCTTGATGGATTTTCAGAATATCAAATTTTGAACCTTCTTCAACAAATGACCATGGTAGCTAATGCTTACAAAACTCAAAATCAAACTTCTGATTACGCTATAGCTGAACTACTTATAGCCGGCTTCGCTGGTCAATTAAAGGGTTGGCGGGATAATATCTTAACCGCGGAAGACCAGAGAACTATTTTTACAACTGTCAAATGTGATTCTTCTGGAACTCCTATTTTAGACTCCAATAATCAATCTTCTCAAGATGCAGATGCATCCCTGATTTTTGCCATTTCAAAACATTTTATTGGAGATCCTTCACATCTTAAAGATAAAAATGCCGAACTACTTTCTAATCTTCGTTGTAAAAAGTTTCATGACTTTCGATGGTACAAAGATACCTTTTTAACTAGGGTTATGCAAAGAGAAGATGGTAATCAACAATTTTGGAAAGAAAAGTTTTTAGCCGGTTTACCCCGTCTCTTAGGAGATAAAATCCGAAACAAAATCCAAGACACTTTTAATGGTCAAATTCCTTATGAGCAACTTACTTACGGAGAACTTATTAGCTTTATACAAAAAGAAGGATTACAAATTTGCCATGATTTAAAACTTCAAAAACAAATCAAACGCGAACAAAAACTAACTCGAAAAGAACTAGGATCTTTTTGTGCTCAGTTTGATGAATCTTATTCAAAAATTTCTTCCAAATCTAACTGTGAGGATTGTAGCACCAAACCTCATCAAAAACATCGCGATCGTCCCTACCGATCTTTTAAAACCACGAATCAAAAATCCCATTTCTATAGGAATCCCCGCCCAGATAAGGGACCACGATCTAACAATGAAAATAAAAACATTACTTGTTTTCGTTGTGGAAAAACAAGTCATATTTCCAAATATTGTCGTATAAAAAAGAAGCTCAATGAGCTTAATCTTTTTTTTTTTTTTAACAGTAATGAGCTTAATCTTGATGAAGAGATTCATGACAAAATCAATAATCTTTTTCTCCAACACTACTCTTCTCATGAGGATTCTTCTTCTTCTTCTGATGATGATGATGAGAATCTTCAGGCCTTACAATTTGATGACATCGATGAAAGTTCTGAATCTTCTATCAATGTTTTAACCAAAGATCAAGAGCTTATCTTAGATCTAATCAATAATATTAATAATCCTCATCTCAAAGAAAAATATTTCAAAAAGCTTCATGAGCACATGGAGAAACCTCCTATGACTATTCCACCTACCAATCCCTTTCATCAAGGTTCGACGTATAGTGTCAAGGATATCCTTTCTCGACATAGTAATAACGATTCCCACAATCCTTCTCTTCCTGACTTCCAAAAGGAATTGGATATTGTTAAGAAAGAAATTCAACGATTACGACAGTCACAAAATAGTGATCATGAGATATTACAAACTTTAATAGCTCTCAAACCTTTACAAGAGCCATCAACATCTAGCCCTGACAACTTTTTCGATGAAACTCCTCATGCAACCAACAGTTTAGAAACAGAGGAAATGCTAACTGATGACGATTTTCTATGTTTTTTATCTACCATTACTACTAAAAAAATGGTATGTTATCATTAATATTCAGGTTTCTTCTGATTTTACTTTAAGCACAGTGGCCCTTCTTGATACAGGAGCAGACATGAACTGCATCCAAGAAGGATTAATTCCAACTAAGTACTATGAAAAGACCCTCGAACGTCTATCTACCGCTAACTCTCAACCTCTTCAAATACAATATAAACTTTCTAATGCTTTAATTTGTCATCAAAATGTTGAATTCAAAACTCCTTTTATCCTAGTTCGTGACATGCAGCAAAAGGTGACCTTAGGGACACCTTTTCTAAATCTTCTAAAACCTTTTACCGTCACCGACCAAGGAATTAACACTGTTGTGTTAGGAAACAATGTTGAATTCTCATTTCTTCAAAAACCAAAAGTTGGAACTTGTTGCCTAACAGAACAGTGTTAATTCTTTGGTCGGTGACGGTAAAAGGTTTTAGAAGATTCCCTAAGATCACCTTTTGTTGCATTTCACGAACTAGGATAAAAGGAGTTTTGAATTCAACATTTTGATGACAAATTAAAGCATTAGAAAGTTTAT